CACATGTGGACGAAGATTGACCATATGAATTAGGTCACATGTGGATGTGGATTGACCAAATCAGGTCACATGTGGATGTGGATTGACTATTGAAATCAGGTCAAATGTGGACGAGGATTGACCAAATAAACAGGTCACATGTGGATGTGAATCGACCATGTAAATTAGGTCACATGTGGATGTGGATTGACCATATAAATCAGTTCACATGTGGATGTGGATTGACCATATAAATCAGGTCACATTTGGATGTGGAATAACCATATAAACAGGTCACATGTTGATGAAGATTAATTATATAATGAAGCTGTCACATGCTGTAGCGAGGTATTGTAGTGTCATCTATAATTCCTCACAAGTTAATCAAAAATAAACAACAAAATCTTTATTTTTTGTCCTCTCATCATTGTATATCAAACAATAACCAGAACTACATACAGAGTTATATGTTCTGATAGGATGTATTGGACCAACATCAAAAGCAGCCTGTATCATTAGCAAACCATTCGTCATAGAAAATGACGCCATTAATAGCCTCCTACAATAGTGTTTAGGTGGTGATAACTGTCAGTTCCCAGTAATGGCATGAGAAAAACATCCCTAGGGACAGGCTATCACCCAGACAAACAAGACTGTAGTGAGGACATAGACCAATGAAGAGGATCAAGTATAACATTACCTTCATATAGCTGACGTTGAGTTCTTTAGCGCTGTAGCCACGTGTCAGATTTCTCCGTACATACATGTCATAGTCTTTAATTATCCGGGCAATGATGTCTGTCGTTGATATTCCTTCTGTTCTCTGTGTCGCCAGAAACCTAGAAAACATAGCATGTGTTGCTGCAGTAATTAACTCATTCACCCTTGAAGTTTCATAATAAACTTTTCCAACCGTTGAATTGGAAGGGTTTAAATGTGACTTCAGGGGTGAATGAGTTAAACTAGGAAAAGAAATGTCTGTCTTTAAAATATTGAAATTGAAATACTGAATTACCTCCCCTTGAATGCAGGGTAAATGTTCATGGTATTGTTAAATATTGTTTAAAAAACGACACAAATCTTATTTTAAGGATACCACTGTGGAGTTTAAAATTATAAAACTCATCCAAATCGTGGGTTTACACCCTTAGAGTAAAATTGGGTGCTGAGGATTTTATTTCATATATAATCTTCAAGTGTTGAAATCCTCCATACAAACAGAGGAGGAGTTTTTCTTTTCATATCTTGGTTTAAAGGATTCAGAATCAACTGAACAGTAACACATTTCTTTGTTTGCCAGTCGCCCTGTTATTATATCCCAGCCTGTTCAGAGGATACCATTAATCAGGATATTTTGGTGGTATGTACTATATTTTGGAATGTTTGTAAATGACAGGGTCGTTTGAATTAGGAGAATCATATTTTTGTGCTTTTTGTGCTCTGCCTAACCAGATTCTGTTTACAATGCTGCAACATTGAGAATCAATTTTCTAAGTTTCAAAACTGGAACATCGTAATTGATATTTTTAATCCATGCCATAAAGAGCTATATCATGGTCGTGTAATAGGGAAACAGTGATTCAGGAATATTGGCGTGTTAAATTTGTATCACCTTAATTAATACAACAGCCAAAACACCAAAACATCAGCACATCCAAAATAGCCTGATTTACAGTAGATAAACGATCGAAGAAATGAAAATCTTCCTCTATTACATACACACGTACGAAAGATTATCACCTCACCAAAATGTTTGTAATACTTACATGTCTTTGTCTTTTAGATGTTTGTATATATCATCCGAGTCATTGGAAGAGTATGGTAAATCGTCATGGGCAACAAAGTCAATCTACAATGTCCAATGGTTTCAGTATGAAGAACAAATTACTCGTCAGAAATTGTTATTATAAAATATTTGGCGATAGCAGAAACAACAATCAGTGCGTAAAAGGTACACATGTTACAGGAATCCATACAGAAAAGTTAAAATTGACGCTATCAAGTGATATACCTCGGGAAACGTACAAAACGGATATTTCGGTAATTAAAGTAACTTTACAACTTTTACAGTGATTCGAAGTATTCAAGAACTGTTTCACCTTTTATTAAACTATTACTCTAATAAATACTAAGCTGAAAATGTGAATATTTCTTCCCAAACATTTTGTATTCGTTTGCTTCACTATTCTGATGTACACAGCGCCATATACAATGTAAGTAACACATATATATTTACTTTATGTTTCTCTAGGAACTCATCGCTGATGGACCACGGCACAGCCTTCACCACCTCGTCCACGTAGCGGCAGTGCCTCAGAGCCTCGTATCGCTCCGTCTCGTTCATTACTGTCCGGCCCTTTTTCTTGTGTGTGAGTTTATCACTACAGACTATAAAACAGAGGTAACCCTTTTTAAAATATAAATATTTAAAACTATCCTCTAACCTATGTTTCTACCTAAAAACAAGAGGCCCATTAGGCTGTAACACTCACATGAGTTTAATGCTAATGTAACAAGTTTGAAGTCAATTACTGATCTAGAGAAAAAGTTAAAAAAAAATCTACACCTATCAGAGGACAGAGTATCCATCCTCCATCAGAGGCTGGTATCCATCTCTGATTCTTGTTTCAATGCAAATAGTGAGAACACTTAGCCTGTACCTCAAACGGAAATTCAGAAAACTAATGACACATTTTGGAATCAATCACTACAGCTGTTCTTGAGGAAAAGCCCTAGTGTACTAGCCAAATCAGAGGCTAGAAGTCTCTTCTCAGGTTATTGAATCAGCACAAAAAGTACAAGCACTTGGTAAAAAACTCATAAAAATGCATTTGTACCAACTAGGCGTAAATCGGCAACCAGAGGTCAGGGCTGCTTTGTTGGATTTTTGGATTGGCTTGGAAAGTAACAGCACTTGGTCAGGACCACATAAAGGAACATTTGTACCTAGTGTAGAATCAAACATTTTAGTTGGTCTTGAGAAGTCAAAATTCTCAGCCATTCAGTGACTAGGGTGGCCATCTTGGATTTTTGGATCAGCATGAAAAGTGACAACACTTTGTCAAAACCTCTTAAGGAACATTTGTACCTAGTTTGGAGTATATCTCTTCAATGAGTCTTTAGAAAAAGACGAACATGTTAAATTGTCAATTGTTGTCATCGGAAAAAGGCAAATAGCAATAAATACAGTTACATGTTCAATACAGTGAGGAAAAAAGTAGTCAAATATTTGACATCATTCACAAAAATTATTTCATCAGACTCTTAATGCATCCTCTGATAAAAGCTCCTTTATATTGCTTACAAAATGTACTCCATGAAGAGTTCTTATCAAACAATGTGTCGTGGGAAACAACAGCAATCTTAACTATCTAATAGGGCCAATGTGATTGCTAGAAGTTCTTTTTAAGTTGCAAGATTCAAAGCCAGCAAAAATATTCAAAGAAAAAGCTACAAACAACTTTCACATGGACAGTTTTGGCTTTGTACTAACCGCGTGGCGCTTAGTCACTGAACGAAGGATTACCTTATTTATCATAAATATCTTCACCAAGAAATACAATACAAAAAGGTTTGGTTTGGTTTGTTTGTGTTTTACGTCCTATTAACAGCTA